TTCCATTTTTCCACGAAGTTTTTGAAATGCCCTCTCAAAAAAAAAAAAAAAAAAAAAAATCTTTAAAGGGCACCCACTTTTCTTCAGTTAATAATGTAAAAAAGGCCACATTGACATGGTTAAATTCCCAGCACCCTCAGTTCTTCAGGGATGGACTAAATGGCTGCATCACGTACAAAAGTGTCTTGAACTTGATGGACCTTGTGCTGAGAAATAAAGTTTATATTTGTTATTTTTGTCTTTTGATTCCATTTTCCATGAACTTTTTGAAGTCCCCACATATTTTCAAATGTTACAAAATCGTGCAAGAGTAAAAGATCCATGCACAGTGCAAAATAAAACCAATGGATTTTAATGTAACCAAGTATGAAAAGTTTATTGGTATGGTTTCAGATTCCATTGCAACTAATATTCAAGAAACTACTACTTGTTGAGTTTTTAATTCAGCATCATAGAAGAATATTCACAATAATCTGACAAGCCTATTAAAATACTTCTTTTTTAAAAAAATGCATGTATGTATGCATATCTGTGTGAGGCTAGATTTTCTTCATATAGTTCAACCAGAACAACATTTTAGTACATACTGAGCACAGAAGCAAATATGATATTCCAGCAGTTTTATATCAAGCCAAGCATTAAAAAGAATTTGCAAAACGTAAAACAGTGACATTCTGTTTATTAACTTTTTTGTTGTTTTGGAAAATGTTTTTCACAAAAAAAGAAACAAAATGACACCTATTTATCATGTAATATATATATAAAATATAATTGCCATTTTGATTTAACAATTGAGTATGAGAAATAAAGTATAAAAAAAGGTAAATGATGATGTAGTATTGAAAAAAGAAGAACTTTTAAAAAATAACATCGGAAGACCAAACTAGGATGATGACTCAGTCCATTTGTGTTGCTATAAAGGAATATCTCAGGCTAGATAATTTATAAAGAAATGAAGCTTATTTGGCTCACAATTCTGCAGGCTGTACAAGAAGCATGGCAGCAGCATCTGCTTCTGGTGAGGGTGTCGGGCTACTTCTACTCATGGCAGAAGGTGAAGGGGCAGTCCGTGTGCAGAGATCACATGGTAAGGAAGGAAACAAGTGAGAAAGTAGGCAAGGAGGGGTGCCAGTGTCTTTTTAACAACCAGCTCTTGTGGGAGCTAACAGAGTGAGAACTCATTTGTTACCTTGAGGAGGGCACTGTGCCATTCATGACGGACCATCCCCATGACCAAAACGCCCCATTAGGCCCCACCTCTGATATCAGGGATCAAATTTCAACACAAGATTTGGAGGGGTAAAAGAAAAAAACTATAGCAGTTGGTAAATCTTGCATGCCAATATTAAATATTAAATTTAAATATTTAATAAATACTTAATACTTTTAAATAACAAACACCACATGTAATTTAAAAGCAGATTCATAAAAATATTCAGAAAAAATTATTTGTAACATACACGCCAGAAAAGTGCTATAAAATAATACTGGAGACTGGGTAATTTATAAAGAACAGAAATTTATTTTTCCCAGCTCTGGAGGCTGGGAAGTCTAAGATCAAAGCACTAGTATTTGGGCCGGGCACCATGGCTCACGCCTGTAATCCTAGCATTCTGGGAGGCTGAGGCAGGAGGATTGCTTGAGCTCAGGAGTTTGAGACTAGCCTGAGCAAGAGTGAGACCCCATCTCTACCAAAAAGAAAGAAAGAAAAAAAAAAAAAAACCCAGCCGGGCATGGTGGCACGTGCCTGTAGTCCCAACTACCAGGGAGGCTGAGGCAGAAGGATCACTTAGAGCCCAGGCGTTGGAGGTTGCAGTGAGCTACAATGATGCCACTGCACTCTACCCAGGGCAGCAGAGTGAGACTCTGTCTGAACGAAAACAAACAAGGCAACTGAACACCCCTCCTCAAAACCCCCCACCTCTTTAAAA